TGCCCTTTTTATATTTCTTTTTGCGTCTTAAAATTCACTTGCAACTAAATCATTAAATGTTTTTGGGGCATTTCATTTTCTTGGAATTGAATTTTGTTTTCAGTGGTCATTGGATTTAAGTGTCATAAATAAACAAACAAACAAACAAACAAACAAAATAAAAAGATATCATCACCGCAGGGAGGGGGGCGCTGATAACTTCCTCAATGGCTCAAGGGGGCGTTTCTTTCAAAAAGGTTAAGAACCACTGGGCTAGACCAGCAAACAGTAGGTTAGTGTTGTGTGTGTTTGTTAGTGTTGTACATATAACTTGTGTCCCGCCCCCTGAAAGGTCAAAGAAATTTAGAGAGAAATGAACGGCAAGAGATGTACTCATGGTGGCACTAGTGGTGACCAGGGCAGGACTCTATGCAGGGCAGGGATGGACACCCCTGTACCTGCCAAGATATCAGATTGCTGTCTTAGAAGTTCTACTTTTATTCACAGAGCAAGAGCAAAATAGCACATCTGAGTCAAAACTATTTTTTACAATGTGTATATATCTATGTATATCTGACCTAATTATCAAGACTTCCAAAGCATTCAAATATTTAGGCCAGATTGTAGTTTTATAATAATTCTTCTCATAGCAATGGTTTTAGAATATTTCATTTAGCAAGTCGTCTTCACAATAAAAGAAGGCATAGGGGTTATAATAACATAAATTTCTCCCTAAAGATTTAGGTAGCAGAGTATATAGGCACAAAGCTAATAAAGTGACTTTACTAAGTAGCAGAATAGATTATCTAATATGCACCACCAAGATCAATTTCTATGAATATCTCATTTCAGAATGGGCTTCTGAGCTTTTAAAAATGAAGAACTGCAAAGTATCATAAATGTGTCCTCTCACAAAATATTACATAGTGCTGTAATTTGCATCTTTCATTCAATTACTTACTAGGTTGGTTTTGGTTCATCTTCACATTAGGTTTTGTCAGTTTGGGTTTCTTGATAAATGTCCCACCTGGTTTATTATACGGCTGTTGTATCATTTTTCTCTTTATTCCTCTTGCAGCTACAGCTGCAGAACTCGGTTTGTTATGATAGTCTACCACAATTCCAGGTCTATGCATGCCTCCAAAGTCTCCCATATACTGTAAATAGGTGAAGAGCAAGTATTAGAAAATGATGTGGCTTACAGTAAGCAAACTCCTACACAAATGCACTTACAAATATTTTAACTCAGAAAAAAGACAGTACTAGTAAGATAACACTCATCAAAATGCAAGCTTAATAGTTTTTCAGTTGCTTGACCACAAAGTATTTGCTTCAAGTGCATTTCTGCTTATGCAAATTCTTTAATCCAGATTGCAAATCATATTAGAAGTTTAGTTAAATTCCCTCTTTTCAGGTTCTCCAGATAATTCAACAAAACAGAACAAAATATGTTTCTAAAAAACTCTCTGCTGGGATGCAAATGCTCTTGCAAAATTATCGTCTTCAGAATTACTGAAATTCATTTGAAAGAAGGTTCTATTGAAGAGCATAGATATCTACAACACTAGAAAGTAATTAGCTAAATGTTGAGTTCAACAGAATCATATCTGCCTTTGTCAAATATTTTGACTGTAATAATATACTTTCATTTGTTTACTAGAGTTCATAGTTTTTATTTTTTATTTTAATTCAGGTACAAACTTCTAGGTACCATAGGTTATATGTTTGCAGTTGTCCTTTTACATATGGCACAACTGTGCTTGTACGAAGTTAACAGTATGTCTACTAAAAGTATGTGCCATTCTCAATAGGTCTTTCCTTACTTCCATGTAAGTAAGAAAAAAACTGCCTTCTAATGCTTTAACACTACATACTACTATCTGGAATTAATCTTCACTGATATTTTACATACCTATGTATATAATCTGCCTGTCTACATATATTTGCCTAGAATAATTATTATGTGCTGTCAAGTCATTTACAACTTATGGCAACCCTTTTTAGGGTTTTTCAGGTAGAGAATACTCAACAGTGGTTTATGATTCCCTTCTGGGGCATTCTGGAACTATGCAACTTGCCCAAGGCTGCACAAACTGGCTCTCCTTCTGGGACACATAATAGGGAATAGAGATGGGGGTATTTGTATTCATATAAGAATACAAATATCCCCACAAAGGTGCACATAACAAGCGTCTGGGCTCCTGGGGCTGGACTGTCCACTTACCCGTCCACTGCAGCTGCTGGCTCCATGCTCCCTTCCACTTGCTCCGGAGATCACAATCGACTAGCCACTCATCAACCTGGCAGGGAGGCCTGTCTTCCCTCCTTCTGCCAGGAATGGCTAGTTGACTGCGAGCTCTGGAGCGATTGGAAGGGAGCATAAAGCTGCCAGCAGCAACGGACAGATGAGTGGACAGTCCAGCCCCTCGTTATGTCCACATGTGTGGGGGTATTCGTATATGAATACCATCATTCTTAAAAGGGAATCAAACTCCCAACCTCTGGCTCTGCAGGCAAGATACCTAAGTCACTGAGTTATCCAGAAACCTTTAACTGGAATCAGCTTCACTAAACAGTGGGTCTTATTTCTGAACAAACATACAGAAAACACGTTACATCAAAAGGTTTCTAACCTAAAAAGCAGCCTGCAACTATTTAAACAAACTTTCTTTGTGGAAGTATGCCAAATTAAATTATTACAATTGTATATGTGAACTAAGTTATAAATGATATAGCTTATATTGCTCAAGCACTAACCTCAGTTTAAGTTAACTTAAGTTTAAGAAATGATCACTATGACTATTCCAAGAATTTCAATTTGTTTTCAGGAAAAAACAATTCTCTGGGTTTATACTATATTTCCTGTGGCCTCAGAAGTTCCAGAACTTTTATATTGCTACCCCAAAGTCCAGTAGAATCAATGCTTTGAGTGTTTCTTAAATAATAAATTTATTTCTCCAGTACTAAGGTACTGATTGACTGTCACAGACTGCGGACACCAAAATACCCCTTTCTAGAACAGAAGAGCTATGCCAGTGAATACAGTAAAATAAAAGATCTTACTGCAAATTCTTTCTAAAACAGACAATAGCTGTAATAGGGATCAACATATATCAACTGATATTGTGAAAAAGTTGTTCAATCTTTTCCTATCTCATACATCTGCAGGACATTGCCAAGAGCTTACAAAGGACTGATTCTGTAGATATTAAGGTAGTGAAGAAAGGAGCAAACTGAAGAGAAGGAAGCAGTGGAACATCAAAATTTAAAGTCTCCTTCCCTACGTTCAAATTAAAATGACAACTGTTTACAAGAAAGACTCATCTAACTGGATGAGTGAAATTATATAAGCAGAAATAAACATACTGCCATATAACAACTCTTTCCCATTAAAAGTCAAACATTTTAAAGACAGTAAAACTGCAAAACATTTCCCTAATTTGACTAGCATTTAGCTTTAACAGGCCAAAAAATATAAGAAATCATTAACATATAATTATGCAAACAAAGTCCATGCACAAGTTTTACATTTCAATTTGTCTACAAATTGCCCCTCCTAAAGAACCATCTAGCAATATCTCCACACTGCATATGCATAATTAAAGGACACTTTCTAGGCAATTTACATTTGCACAAGCAATTATTTCCAGAATCTATTAAAGGTGCAATGCATTTTACATAAAGCAAGTAGGTTATTCCTCTATTTACAGTTTTAAAAAAACTAGTGCTCCCTAGGATTTTCACTTATTCAAGCTCATAAACCTACCTTTAAAAAAACAACTGGCATCCAAGGATTAGACAAATCTACAGAGTAGCTTATTACCAATCTACAAGAAAGCTCCTCACTTTCTTCTAGCCTAGCTCTGTTCATGGTCTTGTGGGTTAAACCTCACTATGCCAGTTGTACCCTTCACCATGGTACACCAATGAAACCAATTTTGAAAGAATATACAAGACATGCAAACAGTCCAATAAAAATTATCTTGCCCTATATAATTTTTATAAGGCCAGTTTTTTGAAATGTATTAAGTTAAGAGTTTTAAGACTGCATATGTAGATTCAATCCCTAAACTAACTATACAAAAATCAGATCCAGAATTGTGAGTTGAGTTAATGGGACATCATCACATTCTTATAAACCTGATATATTCCATTAAGAGCACAGAAGTTTTTAACTATTTAGATTGTGTGCCTGGTTTATTGTTCCTTACTAATATTTGACACATTAAAAATCTCTCAACTGTGCTTTTGAAATTATACTGAAATGTATCCAGCATGCAAGAACACGCTGTAGAGAATTATATCACAATGGTTAAACAATAAAGTTCACAAAGTTAGCATTCATCAGGAAACGATCAGTTTTCAAGTTGATGGCATCCCTTTAACCATGCTTTTAAATTACTCATCATCTACCCCTCCACGTAAGTCTTGTAACCTTACACTTAACTAAGAGTGCTGTGAATAAACAATCAACTACGTACCTGGACAAAATAAAGCATTCACCCCCTAATATTAAGTACTATACAGTATATACATTGCACCTTTAAGCTACTCAAAACTGAGAAAGGTTCTAATCAACCTTTACAATGTTTCAAGACTTCTCCCACTAGCCAAGATGCTAGTGTTAACAAGGAAAAATGCAATTCCTTTTAACCCCTTTTAGACCAAACCCATTGCCTGAATCTTCACCTTTCAAACAAAAGGAGAGATTTGATAAAGCCTTAGCAACTAATCTCTTCATGCTTTTACTTGTCAATGGAGAGACGGGGTACTATGTTCTGGGTAAAAACCAAACCGGATTGGAAGGTCATCAACCCTAACAGTTTGGCCAAAAGCACACTGTGATATACAGTGCCTTTCATTTCAAATGCTATGGTCTTTAAAGGGTTTAAAAGAGTGACTAGTGAAAAGAATCTGAAAAGATTCTGTACTTACTCCTCGGCCACGGCCTCTGCCTGTTGATGGTCCTCCAAAAGCATCATAGTTTCTGCTTCCAAATCCACTGTCAGGATAAGCAGGCGTTCCTCTCCCCCGAGAGCCTACAGGTGCAGGCTTCATATGGGGTGAAGAAAAACTGCTGTAGGAAGAGTAAGTCTCTCTTCCTCTGTCCTCCATAAACCCAGGCCTCAACTTTGTGCGTGAGTAAGGTGCTTCCCAGCTAGACCCGCCCTGGTTTCTACCTCCGAAAGAGTCAAGGCTATTCCGGTAGTTGCTGTCAAATCGACCACCATAACTACCTCCGAAGCGGCTTTGTTCGGGTTCATTATAACCATAGCCAGATCTGTATAGATCTCGCCCACCCAGAGAAGACCCGGAGTCATAAGACTCATAAGGTCCAAACCTGGAAAAGTTGCAGTGAGGAAAAACAAAGTAAGCTTACTAAAGTTAAACATTTCACAAGACAAGTCATCAGTTGACATTTATCAACTAAAAATCATTGTATATTTTACTTTGGTAGGGTTTGCCTTGATTAGGGCTGGGCAATTCCATGCTGTGACCAGACAGAAAGCTATCTGTGCCACTTTTCCATAAAAATCATATTCAAGTTCAGAATGTCTGAACTTCATGAAATTTCTTTACACTGACATATTTAAACCTCATTATTTGTGCCCAGACCTAGTCATAAGAATGCTGACACCTGCACAGAATAAAACTGTTCTATTATTTTTTTAAAAAACACCTCTAACAGTTCTACAGCATTTAAAAGGCTTTCCCTCAACTAGGTAGTGTACCAACAGTGAGAAGCAATTATTATAACTTGATTTTTTTTCCTTTTAAGCCCTGACAGTTCATTTATTCAGATTCCCTGGTTTTTGCAAGATATAACCTTCCAAATATAAAGGTTACTATCTTCCACCATGCCCCATCTTCTTTATTACATTTAGCAGATTCTAAAGCAGAGGTGTGTCCCTCTAGTTGTTGGGCTGAAACTCCTTATCTATGCTGGCTAGGGCTGATGAGAGTTTCAGTCCAATAATGTCTGGAGAGGCACACACTGCCCACTCCTGTTCTAGACAAGTGCCTCAAATGGAAAAATCAAAGTAAATTCTTCAATATAACTGTACCATTGGTACAGGGGAAGACTGTGCATTACATGCAGGTACCTATTCCCAAGAAATCACATGCAACATTTATTTATTTAGCAAAAGAAAAGGGCAATGTGCAGTGGAACATCAATGCCATGTATTCCTGCACTGAAAGGATTCATAGGGTTCCCCACACCAAAAAAATTAAAATTGTTAACTCAGATGAAATAAAAAATACCAGCCTTTACTTAAAAAGCACAATTTGGTAAGTCTACATATACCACCCTTAACTACAATATCATAACCCATTTTATTTTTTTAAAAGCTCACTCACAAAAAAATTACATATTCAAAACATCATCTATCTAAAAGTCAGTCCATTATAACAGCAAAGAATGTTCAAGTATTAATTGTATTCAGTGAACTCCAATCATATGCAGATTACTAGATGGTAGGTACACGATGTTCCTTATTCTCAGGACAGACAACTACATACAAGCATTTGATATAAAAGTCAGTTTTGAACAGCACTGTTTCTTTGTTCTCCAATATTCATTATTGCAAGAGAACATGTGGATATAGAGCTGCAGTTTTGTGCTGACATACATAGAAAATATAAATGAGAACACAAGATATTTTGCTTAAAATGTACAAGTCATAGAAGAAATCCAATTCTGCAAAACTATTTATGATCTGAAGTTAGTAGACACAAACTGCACGCACAGTGCAAATCCAAAAGCTTGCCACAAATATCATTGTAGTGCTATGTAGGAAATAAATAGTAAGATCACTGCATAAAAATTTAGACTAGATCAAATGCATATTTTAGTGTAATTAGTACCTGCCAAAAAATAATCTGGACATGACAAGTTGTCTATCAGTGTACATTCTTGCAAAACATATTAGCACTAAGCAAGTTAAGTTTAAGTGTTCCTTTCAAACAGAGTAAGAGAAGTGATTCGATCCAAGTTAAGTCTATAAACTCTGTAATGACAGTTGAATATATATTTCAATACAGATAAATTGTGGCTTAAATGCATTTCATAACAAATCTACAACATGCAAAACAATTTATACTACTTTTCAAAAACTAAACCTAAGATTTTTTAACAATTCGCTACATTATGTTACTATCTGTTCTGCTGCTCACAAAATCAATGCATGTTCAAGGAACACTTAAACTGGATAAAGGCATATAGTACATGGGATGATGAATCCATGGTTCTGCAAATGTTACTAGACTCAAGCCCCATCAACCCCAGCCAGCATGACCAACAAGTAGGGAAGATGGGAGCTGTGGATCAGTATCATTTGGAGGACCACAGATCCCACACGTTTCACTGTAGAATGCAATAATATCCTTTTGATGTATATAGGAACTGATTCAAGATTTTACCTGTTACCACCACCACCACCTCCACCGCCGCCTCCATGACTTTCCATTCCATATGATTGGTTCATATAAGAGTCCATAGCTCTTGGGCCACCATAGGCACCATGCCCATAGTCACGGTCCATTTCTAAGAAAGAGAATTAATTTTATTAAAATGAAACCAATCAATCCCTGCATATGCCCACTTATGATCAGAGGATCTTTTATATATTTAATTTCAGTTCTTTCTAATAACTAAATGCGTACAAATGGCAAGCCACTGCTCAGAACCTCACCTCCCTCAGGGAAAAAACAAAAAATCACCAAAAATTAACGAAGACTCAGAAGAAAGCCAAACTAAGTGTGCATAGGTTTCACAAGGTGGACTAACTATTCCAACCATTTAAAACATGTTCCAAACATTGTAAGACACTTAAAAATGAGCAAACACGGACGTCGTTAAGTGAAATTCCCCCATAGAGAACATCGTTAAACGATGCTGAAAATTCCTCAAAGAAACCCATCGCAAAGCGAATACATCATTAAATGAAGCAATCGCTAAGCGAGGCACCACTGTACATTAGTAAACGTCTCTGCAACGAATATGAATCAAGGAGAATTTTATAAAATTGTGTTTAAAGAGATGGCAAAGGTTAGAAAGGGATATGTGATTATGGCAGGAGATTTTAACATGGTTCTGGATAAGGTAAAGGATAAATTAGTATGTAAAAAAGACAAGTTGAACAAAAGAAGTACCCTCTTGAGGAAGATGATAAGCATGTGCTGTTGCACAACAAATCCCACTACTGTTGCATGCCAGCATTTATGCCGAGTTATTAACTGGGCTTTTACTGGCAGACCTAAGTAACAAGATTCAAACCACTGATTCTTTTACAGTGGTAACTATAATGTCACTTTGCAATTCTGTGCAGGAAAAAAAATCAAGATTGTTCCACTTCCAAGGCTTTCACAAATATTTGCTTTGGCAACTAAACTAAGCATTTATTTTCTGATATATGTAACTGCAACACTAATTTGAAAATTTTTCAAAATAAGGAACTGTTATAAAAAATATAATACAGGTCTTCTAAAATCATTATCTGTATCTTTTACTTGCAAAAAAATGTTAAGGAAACAGAAAGCAATCATTAATTTTGGGGACAGGAATCATATTATTAAACGGAGACTAATAACTAAATTTTTGTTTAAAACAATCTGATTTAAATCAAATCCAAGTCAATAATAAACACTATACATAACAGAATTTGAACACATAATATCTAAATTCTACATATTTGTGATTATATATATATATATCCTACTACAATGCAGATATTATTTGCATACAATGATTTAATTTCTCTCAAACAGACACATTTTTGTACACATTTATTTCAAAAGTGCATGCCTTCTGTACACTGTTTCAAATACGTACATTCCTGTGCCAATGAGATGTATTCAAACCTAAAAATAAAAAAACCTTAGAAATATATGGATTTTGGAAACAAACTGCATTTTAGTCTAGGTTTAGGTATAAGTGCATATTTTGTAAATATGCATTCAAGTACAGATCAAACCAACTTCTCAAGCCATAATCCAAACAAGATAACCTGGAGATGTTGGTGGGAGCTGACACACACCAACCTATGGTGGTCACTGGGGGACACAGCATCGTTATTTATTAAGAGGCAGTTTCCACTTATTGTAATAGCAAAATAAAACCTGTTGTGGCATACAATTCAACAACCTAAATACACAAGGTTTTTACACATGCTAGGGATGTGCCAGTCCTGAGGCTAAATTGTAAAGCTTCACGGACTGACACAGGCAGAGCATCACCTAGTTTCCCAATCAAAAAGAAAGCTGCCTGGGATTTGTCAATACAGTATAATGAAATGGCTTAAAATTATTTACTTCCTCAGTGTCTTGTTTGCAGTGGAATCAGGCACTCTCTACTGGAACTCTGAAGGAAAAGCAAACAAAGCTTCCAGCAGGAAGTTTTTCTTTTTTTAAGTGGTGCGGCAAATCTGCCCTAGTACACACATTTTTTAAAAAAATTCCCACTTCCTTGGCACCTCCACAGAAGTAATTAACTTGCCAATATCCTGAAGTGGCTGCCTTATTAAGCCACTATAGGCCACTGGCAAATTAAAGCTTATTTTTTACTTGTTTTCAGCAATCGCCCTCTGTGGAAAAAGACCAAAACAGAGCGCTCCTACCAGTACCAAACAAGTAAACGCCCAGACAGGGGCCAGAAAAGTGCAGGTAGGAGCACTGGGATGACCATTTGCTTCGCTCCAGTGACCACATCGTGTGATCACTATGAAAAGGAGCGAACCAACCGGCCCCCCCGTAAAACACAAACGCAGGCAGATAAAGCCAAATAATGTATTTTCAAAGGCCATGATGTGCCGCGGTCAGAAACACCCCTGTCCACCGTCCCGTCACTATTCTTTCCAGCCCACGCCGTGATCCCACAGCCTCTGCGCCTTCCTGCCGGAACTACAGAGAGCTCTTTGACGCTTTCAACCAAGCCAACGACACGAGGTTCCTGTTCACGCTTATCTGGCTATAAAGCCCACGGACGTGGGCTGGGGCTAAAAACCCGAATAAAGAAATCCCCAGGCAAAGGCGGGAAGATAAGGAGGCCTCAAGTAATGAAATATGGCTTCCAACGGCCGCTGCGTCCCTCAAGCGACCACGAGCCGAGGCTGCCAGAAAACCGGCCAAAATGGCGCCCCAAAACGCGGTCTCTCCTTGTACTCGAAGCACCCCCCCCCAGACTAGGCCAGAGCCACCCGCTTCCCGCCTCCACAGTCGGCACCGCCGCCATTTTGGGCCTCCTCTTCTTGCCCTCGCCCTGAAAGGCAGCGGCTTCGGCGCGGTAGACACGAACCACTCACCCTCCCCGTAATCCATGGTGGCGACGGCCCTCGGGGGTTTGGACGCTACGGCTGGAGTACCGGTCCCTCCCTGCGGGACAAGGCTGCAGCTGCCACAGGCACCTCAGCAGCGCAACTTCCGACAGACAGCGCCGCGGCGGAACGAGGCACCGCCCGCAGGATTCCTGGCTCGCTGATTGGATACGCCACTCCCCGGCGGAGCGTCAAGACCATAGAGGGAGGATGAGAACGAGACCCGTTCAGCTAGAGAGTCTCATAGAGATTCCGGTAGGAGGAGGGGGCTTCTTGGGCCCCCTAGGCGCAGCCGCAGTTCAGCGGAGGTTGTTGGGGAGGAACGGAAGAGGGGAAGCTTTCTCCCGCCCTCGTGTTACTTAATGGAAGGTTTGTCGACTGCCATCTCCTGGACAAAGAACATTTCCTAGAATAAGGAACCCTAATTCACGAACGAATCGCAGATGAAATCCAATGCTGGCAGCACCGACCAGTGACAAATTCGTTCACTCTGCAATCTGCAACCTCATACTAGGATTTAAATTCTATCTTTTTAAATTGGGTCCACAGTGTGTATTATACAAAGTAATTAGGAATAATTTTTACACTGTTTAGTTTTTAACTCTGCCGCTTTCTTCCTGTACCACATGGTCCAGTGAAAAGTTCTGGAGTGCTTGGAAGCTTGCACCTTCCTTTGACGTTTGGTTTTTTGTTGTTACATACCATCAAGTCGCCTCTGACTTCTGGTGACCCCATGAATGAGCACTCTCCAAAATGCACTGTCCTCAACAGCCCTGCTCAGCTCCTGCAGACTCAAGCCAGTGGGTTCCTTTCGGGAGCCAGTCCATCTCATATATGATCTTCCTCTTTTTCTGCTGCCCTCAAAATCTTCCAGAGAATCTTGCCTTCTCGTCATGTGCCCGAAGTATGATGATTTCAGTTTCATCCTTTTCAACTCCAAACAAAGTTCAGGCTTGATTTTATCTAGGATCTGCTTGTTTGTCTTTCTGGCAGTCCAGAGTATCCACAAAGCTCTTTCAGCACCATATTTCAACTAAATATTTTTTTGTTTTCTCTCATCCTTCTTCACTATCCAGCTTTCACACCTGTACATAGTGACTATACAAGAGTATAGATGATCTTGGTCTTGGTTTCCAGTGACACATTCTTAGACTTGATTACTCTATCTTTTCTAATTCCTTCATTGCTGCCCTTCGAAGCCTCAGTCTCCTTCTGATTTTCTGGCTGCAGTCTCCTTTAAACTGTTGATTTGGGGGGGGGGGTAACCTTTTTGCTGTTTTCAGACAATGTGTGTTTGGTTTTAGACTATTTTATCTACAATGTAAGGGTGGGCAGGCAGAGGTGTGAGTGTTTTGCCATGAAACAAAGCAAGGCCACCTGGTGCTTTACACATGTTTTGGAGCTGCGCTGCTACCCCTGATATCATGTACTGTAGCTTTCCCAACTACTCTGTGTCTCTACAGCGTGGATAGATAGAAAAGTGTGGCAGGGCCAGAGAAACCACACAAGATTTGGGAGCAGATTATCTGTGTGACCCTTTTCTGCATATCAACCCTCTGTGTAATGACTGTGTAAACCATATAGATATGTGTGTGTCATGTGTAGACTATATTTCTGCACTTTGGCTCTTTTTAGTCCGGTTCTTTCTAATCATTCTGGAAAGTGACCCTCACATAAGCCATTTTCAATTCTCACATGGTGGGCAGAAATTCATGGCACGGTTGATATAGCCATGTGTAGCCTGCATGATTAAATTGCAAAACCGCCAAGAGAGTACTTTAAGCACTATGGGGCTGTATACAAGCAGCACATTCTGTTCTTTATCTTGGGCCCCTGCTGTGAATTTTGCTGTTATTTCTGTTTGTGAACACCCATATGTAAGTTATATGGGCAGGTGTACATCTTGTATCTTCTTCCTTGAATTAGCTGACACCTGACCAACAGCAAGGGTCCTGTACAAGTAACTATTATTCCGGAAGAAATACAGTAGGACCACAGAATCCGCAGAGGGTCAGTTCCAACCTCCCCCTTTCCCATAGATGCAGGAAATAGCAGATAGCAAAGCACTTACTTCCAGTTTCTTTGGTTTCTACGCATAGTTGAGAAAGGGAATGTGACGTTCGCTCCTCGTGGCCCCTGCCTGATGCCCCAAACACAGAGCACACGAAGGCAAACCAATACTCCTTTTTACCTGCTGCCACCAGTTGATCACTAAATCAACATTACTTCTGGAAGGATGAAGATGCAGGTCCAAAGTTCCCTGTCTTTTAAATAAAACTTGTTTATTGATTACAGATGTTTGATTATTAATCATAGGTAACTTCTACAGGTTTATTTATATTCAATCTCAACCTTCTATTTGATATAACAGTTCTTATTCACTCTTAACTCTAATCACACCTCAGATCTCCCAAATACTACACTCTATCTCTCCACTCTGATCTCTCTGACTGACTGACCCTCTCTGACTCCGCCTCTTTATTACATATCTCTCAGCTCCGCGTCTTAGCAACCCTAGCCTGCAACATGAATATGCACGACTACGTAACATAATAAGGGTGAACGCTACATACCTCCCCCCCTTAAATATGTTTGTTTGGGAGGGAAAACACATTTTTCCTCCTAAACAAACAGGCACAATTACATGAAACTTTACTTACCACAATACCACATTTAATACAGTATAACAATCACAATACCTTTTTCACTAAACATTTCACTACAATTCAATAATATACTTCACCTTATCATTTACAAATACTACATTTAACATTTTTACCCACACAGAAATATCACAATCAGGAAACTTTTACATAAATAATCTGTAAATCATAGTCCATTCCAGTTTCTTTTGTAAGTTCTTGCCTCATTCGCCTAGCCTCCTGGAAAGCGCATCCGTGACAATGTTGTGGGCTTTCGATGCACGATCTGAGTCTGTTGCAAAGTCCAAATTTACAAAATCCATGTCTTTCACCTTCCTGTTGTAATAAGGTGCACCATGGACTGGTCCAGTTGTTACTGCCTCCTTCAGCTGGACACACATCTCCTGGCACTCAGGAGTCCCTCTGTTGATCACTGGCACCTTCTTCCACAATCTTTTCCATTGACTGGCGGTCATTGGCCACTCGGTTGTCCACTGGATGTTGTCTGCACAAAACCTAATGCTACCGTCAGGCTTGTCTATAAGTACTATGGGTGCAGCCCAGGGACTCTCAGATGGGGTAATTATCTCTGCCTTTAGCATCTCCTGGGCCTCCTGTCATACTTGATCAACATAATCCCCAGTGATCCTATATGAGGTAACAGCTATTGGGCTGGCATCCCTGGTGTCATTTCGGTGGACTACCCCCTTGGCTTTCCCAGGTTTATTAGTGAAGATTGATTGGCATTTTTGCATGATCTCCACTACTACTTTTCTCTGTTGTGTGGTAAGGGAGTGTCCTAGATTTACCTCCTCTGGATTAAAACATAGTTCCCCTCTCCCTTCTCAGCACATGAGTTCTTCGTTATCACTTGTGTCCTAATAGCATATAGGGTCCAGAGATTTCTATGATAGTAAGGTTTGAGCATGTTGACATGCACAACCTTGTGACCCTCCTCCTCCTCCTGAATTACATAACTGTCATTGTTCATTTTTGAAACTATTTACAGGGACCCTCCCAAGCTAATTGTAGCTTGTGCCCCTTAACTGGCCTAAGTAAAAGAACTTCATCTTCTGGCCCGAAAGTTCTTTCCCGGGCTTTCCTGTCTAACCAGGTCTTCTGCTTGGTCTGGGCAGCCTTTAGGTTATTTCCAGCTATCTCCAGAGACCTTTGCAGGGTTTTTTGCAACCTGTTCATACATTCTATTAATGACTCATACATTCTATCACTTTCACTATGGTCTTCCCAGTTCATGCAGAGCAAATCTAAAGGTCCGTGCACCTCCCATCCTAGCAACAACTCAAAAGGACTGAATCCAGTACTTTCCTGCAGAATGCTCCTATAGGCGTATAATATGGGTTGTACTTTGCAGTCCCAATAATTTGGGTTCTCTGCTACATAGGCCTTAATCATGCGCACTAATGTGCCATTTAATTTTTCAATTAGTCCATTAGTCTCGGGATGATATGGTGTAGAGTTGATTTGGGTGATCCCACAGGCCTTCCACCATGTATTTATCAGTCTGGAGGTAAAGCTATTTCCCAAATCACTATTTCTCTAGCAAATCCCAATCGGCTCATGTAAGTGATTAAGGCATCTGCCACAGTGTCAGTTTTCATGTTACATAATGGAATTGCCTCAGGATATCTAGTGGCAAAATCCATAATGGCCAGAATGTACTTATTCCCCCTTCTGGTGACTTTAGGCAAAGGGCCCACCAGGTCAATTCCCGGCCTTTGGAATGGGGTAGAGATGACTGGCAAAGGACATAATTTGGCTTTAGTTCTGTCCTGCCCTATCCCTCGTCTCTGACAGACATCACAAGTTCTGCAATAATAAGTAATCTGTGTGACGAACACGGGTTCGAAAACACACGTGTACGCTTGGACAGAGAGCAATCAGGAGTTTGCACATGCTAAAATGAGCTGAAAGAGTCCAATTCAGCCAGCCATGCTACAACACTCCTTCTCACAAGTCTGCCCACATAAGATCACCCTGGTACTCTCAGATATTATTGTGAAAAGGTCAAGTGAGCTTTGTAGTCCTTAGACTTAACTTGCACCACTGACAGGACTCTAAGTAAGCTAGGCCGAGGCAGCACTCTCAGATGACCCTATGGCAAGTGTACTGTTCAGGACTGGGCAAAATAATGTTTATTGGGATTCTTCAGAAGCATGAGATCAGCTTCAGCACCACTATTAATCTGGTTATTCAAGGGATTCTCTCTCTCCCAGCCTCCCTCTGCTACTGTATCCAATTCTGCTGTAGTGGGTGATGTTTGGCCCCGCTTTGAGCGTGTAAGTACAAAAGCACTCTTGACATGCTGTATTCAGTCCCAACTGATGAGAAAAGCAGCTGGTATTTCGTCTGAAACTGCTACCTGTCACTTTCCAGACCAATTCCCATAGTTTATCTGAACCTCTGTCACTTTCAGCACTACAGCTTCTTTCCCAATTCCTTTTAGGGTTATAGTTCTGCCTGGAATTATGTCATCCTGGGCTATCAAATCAGAATGTACTATA